CTGCAAGACAAAGTTACAGCCCTGCCAAGTAAGCTGATTTAGTTATTATGTGATGGTAAATTTGGGACAAAATGCAAGCTAGGTGCTTTGAAATAGAACAATTGTCGCCTCTCTATTCACTCTCTTCTCTCACCTTGTTGTCTTGCAGCTCTCAGAGCCTTTAAAGCATCAAAGAAAGAAACAAATGCGACAAATAGACCAGATCCTAGTCTACAACTTATTACAAGAGCAAGAAGTGGACCTTACAACTACAAATCTATGAAAACAACAACAGAAACAACTCATCCAGCCTTGGTCAGGAGCAGGTCTGTGACTCTGGCATTGTTTGAAGTTAGTAAAAAGAAGAATATGACCTTAGAAAATCATCAAACTGGTTCTCAAACACCTTTAAGATCATATTCAGGTGTGACTGAGGAGGCACAAATTGACCCCGTTCCTCAACCGAAGGACCCCAAGAGCTCAAGTCCTTTGACAGCATCTTTCTTCTCTGCTGAGGCTACAGGGATGAAAACTACCACCATTTCTTCATTAAACAACACAGTGCAAGCCTCAAGTAGTCCTCTTCCCCTCCTTGTTCCTGTCATCCCTCTGAAGGAAGAGGAACTTCCAAAATTACATTTACCAGATCCAAAAGCGCCTAACAAACCTGAAATAGAAGATGTCACCAGAAATCACTCAACTAATCACAGTTTTCATAAGATAAAGCTCCCAAAACCCACAACCCAGAATCCAAAAGCAGCAATCCAGGAAGAAGAAGGTTCAGCAAAGTTCAAGACCCAGAGTGGTTCAGTCCAGCCTCACAGGACTAGTGTAACTGAGTCCCAAACCAATGCAGTTAAATCAGAAATAGGTATCGGGTCTCAAAATCCTCACTCCCAAACTTCTTCACCCAAGCCTATTAGTCATTTTGAAACTTCCATACTTCCATCCATACTTCTTCTACGGTCCCAAACTAGTAGGAGTCATATTTATCCATTTCCCCCAGCATCTCCATCCAAATTCCTTTCTCGCTCTCAAACCTCTTCTCCACACTCCATTCCACCATCCAGATCTCCCATCATTAAGTCCTTTCTCACAATATCGTCCCTTACCCACTCTGAAAACAGCCCTTTAAAACCCAAAAGTAGCCCAAAGAAAACCAGTACACCTTTCTCTAATCTTCAGACTACAGCTACTGTCCTGAGTAGCTCTCCTCACAGTGAGTATATCAGAACATTTCTCCAAGACATGCCAGAAACTACTACAACTAAAAGTCAGGGTAAAACTAGCATTCCTTGGACAGATTACTCCCAGTCTGAGATATCACCTGACGTTTCAAACAACTCTCCTCAACCACAGAAACAGAAACAAACTCCATCCTCCGAGTCTCTCTTTAACCCACTGCTCTTTACACTGAGGACTGACCAAACTCCCATACTGGAAAAGAGTCAAGTGGATCTTAGGTCTGACGCAAAGATCAGAACTACGCGTCCAGTCTTTGCTCTGCCCTCAGCCACTCCTTCCCTTTCCGCTTCATCTTTCTCCTTCTCCAATACTTTGCTCCCTACTGCAACAGTTAACGATAGGTCTACCAATTCTCCTCATTCTTCTGGAGGTTTACTCCTTGTAACTATGCGTGCATCCATTAGGTCTGCATTTGTCATCCCTTCTTCCTTCACGAGAAACCAACTGACAACGTCATCAGCTCGTTTTGCTCTCCCCTCCCCTTCTCCAATCTCCAACCCCCCTTATTTGTCATCTTCTCAACCTACCCCCACTTCCCCACAGCCGTCCTCCTTTGCCTCGTCTACTATACCCTATTTATACACTTCTAACCATCCATCATCAGATCTCTTGTTTACTCCAGCTCCCTTGCCTACCTTTACCTCTTCCCAGTGCATCACAAATTCTTCCATTTCTTTTGTTTCTTCTACCACTTCATCTAGCTCGACCTCAGCAACTTCTTCCTCCTATCAAGGTACATCTTTTTATATCCCATCTGTAACCTCCCCGCCTGCTGCCCAGGCTACCTCCCTTCATTCAGGACCCTCTCCAGCTCCCCGTCGCTCTCTGCACAACCTCTCCATGCCCTCACCTTCCCAGAAACATACTGAAGGTCACACTGCATCATCTGATCCTGATCCAAGTATACACCCACCAACACCAAGAACAGACATTCATCCAAACCCCAAACCCCACCCTAACATCGAGGAAAATCTTGGCCACGAGTTGAAACCAAAGCTTCCAAATAGTGATGCTAAACATCCCTCCAGTCCTCCTGCAACTCCAGACAAGGAAGGGAAATATCCAGACATACGCAGACACAGTGCCTGGGAGCTGGGCATGCTGCTGGGCAGCTCAGCTGGTTTGGGTATGGTACTGGTGGTTGGAATAAGGTACTTGTACCGCCAGGCTTGTGGAAAACGGACGGCGGTGACCCTGAACGATCGGGAGAGAGAGTATGGGAGAGGAGAGATAGGACTGATCCACGTCCAGGAGTGTGGAGATTTGGTTAGAGTCCGAAAAATCAGAGAGAACAGCTTAGTACTTCTGGCAGAGTATGATGTACTGTCACCACCTGGAGAGAGAAATGCCGGCTGCCAACAAAGATAATAGATACCAAAACCTTTCAAGGACAAGAAAATAATCTTGGTTAACTCCTCGAATGTTCGGATTGATTTTTTCCCTACAACAAACGTCACATTGGGGAGACAGATCAGGCTAGGTAGTAAAAGGAAAAACTGTGAAATGTGTAACACAAAAGGGTCATTAAGGAGAAAAAGAACGCACAGATATCATCACACCATAACACAATAAAACACAGACAAGCAACAGGGGGACATATTCCAGTGTGTACAGCTGGATCTGGGACCGCTGCAATCTTCGATCGTGCCTCCAGCTGATCCGCTGTCCACATCGGATGCGAGCCAGTCCGTTCTGAAATTTTCTTCCTCCTTCCAGATTTTCAGTAACTATTGTTTGAAATTCATTAGCTCAAAAACCAGCAGAACTTTCACTTGTGACAGCACAGCAATGCAGATGAATGCAAACACTGTCGTCTACTGCAGTGCAGGCTCCACAGGGATGTAGGGGTGGGTTTTTATAATCGATTTATCGATTAAAATCGATTCTGGCTTGGATAACGTAAAATCGATTCATTAAAATCCTGAATCGATTTTTTAATATAAATTTATTTTGCCCGAAATGCCAGAATCTCTGGTGACATCTCACAAACTTTCAACAACCACCAAACAGTTAAGACAGTAAATGAGAGCAGGTACACGGCTTCTGCACATAGACTTAAACACACAGCGCGACCCGCGGATCAGAATCAGTTAGATGTCGCCTTTCTCACAGTCGGGAAAGCCGACAGCTCGCCGATTCTGATCTGTCGGCGGGTCGCGCTTTGTTTTTCACGCCCTTTATGAGCCGATTCTAAAACTATTAGTTTGATGTCTCTCCAAACAATATTGACCGAACCAGCAGCAAAAGAAGATCCAAACTATGCTTCACATAAACATCGTCATGTATTCACTCTGACTTTTGCTGTTTTGCCTTGACCATGATGCACCTCTCTCTCTCTCTCTCTCTGTACTTCAAGAACAGTTTCGCTTTCTTCATTATTCGCTTGCTTGTTACAAGTCTACTGTTGTTTACAGCGCTGTCAGCCGCTGTTTGTTTCCCTTTTACATTTTCCGAAGAGAAAACCTCATTTCTGCTGTTCAATACTGAACAAATTTAAACTTTCTTTCGTTTTTGATGTACTGCAGAATATTTTTATAAAATCCCAGAACAGGAAAATCACCTTCATGTTTTTCTGTGTTTTATCTTCAGCTACTTTGACACAAAGGCATCTGCTGTGATGCTCACACCTTTGATAAAGTCTTGCGTGTGTCAGCTTCCTTTTTATAGATACAAAAATATGTAAAAGGTACTGATCTGAATTATAATATTTCTGACTGTCAAAATTTCCCAGATTTAAATCGAATCGAATCGAATCGAATCGAATCGGGACCTTGTGAATCGGAATTGAATCGATTCTAGAAATCAGTGACGATACCCAGCCCTACAGGGATGACTATGAAAGGATAAAACTGTGTTTTTTAGTTTTAAACAAGCAGCGTCTCCAGAGGACCTTTCAGGTCCCGTTGAGCCGCGGTCCCTGACAAAATGGAGCTTGGCAGGCTGTCACAAAATTCGCTGTAAATGTTCACGATCATCCACAGATGATAGACTCCATAGACAAAAGCACACACTGGTGCACTTTCTAAGAAGAATCAGCAAGAGCAGAAGAAAATATTCCTGGCTAAATCTTTCTGTCTCCAACATAAGTAGAAGAATAAAGCTACAATCTGAGTAGTACGTTAACAGAGAAGAATAGGTATGTTTTCTGCATGCATGTCTAAATATACCACAGTGTATAGACAATGACAGGAGGGCTGTAAGTCCAGCTCTGATTAGGTTTTATAGGCTGATTTTAACAAGCAGAGGTTTTTGCATCTGTGGAGAAAGAGACTACACTGCTGATCACTAACATCCATATTAAATTGTTAAGTCATGTGATTGTACTCAAAAATAAAAAGTATATTTTCAGTATCATACACATTTCATAGCTTTATTCAGCTCCTGGAGTTTGAGGCAAAATGCTGGTTTTTAAATTAGGTTTGATTGAGGGTTAAAAACAGCACAAAGCGACTGCGGTCTGCTGGCAGTGCTTTTATTGGTTTATCTTACGACTGCTCCTTCCAAATGATGTGACAGAAGAGCCATCTGTCCAGAAAAAGATGGGTCAGTGAAATTAATGAGCTGCCAATACGGCCCATTTGGTCAGAGAACAAATACAAGGATTTATTCTAAAGTGCTTCTGGCCTCAGAGGACGAAGCACTCATTAGGGCTGTTAAGACTTCGTCAAAGAAGTAAGAGCAACACATTCCGGGTACTTCTAACAGCTAGTAGGGTGTGTAGAAATAGTCTCTGCTCAAAATGTGGTACTGTGTTACGAAGAGAAAGCCTTTTTGTGTTTAATTTCCAAAACTTCTTTAATAAAACAAACAAAATCAGACACATACATGTCCCACTCATTGTTTTCTCCCCACAATAAATTACAATGACAAAACAACCACACTGCAAATAGACTGAACAGACTCACTGTAAGCTGGACGACATAAGAAATGACATTTGTGCTGTAAAGGCTTCAGAATTGAAGTGAATGTGGTGACATTCTCCGTCAGAGACGCCAAAATGTTCATACAGTATTTTCAACACTATGTTAACATCTTTTTGAAAGGGCAACAATCATGTGAAAGGAGACTGGAGGCTTTACAGTCTTAGGTGGATACAAAAGCTAATTTCTGCTACTGGAAAAAGAAAAAAAAAAGCCATCCGTAGTTCAAAGTTTTGACTTTCTAACTTCAACTTTCAAACATCTGAGCTAATACTTTGAAATGTCAACTTTGCAATCTGTTTTTGTTTTGTTTTTATTTGTGTAATTAAGGTTTCATAGGTGGAGAAGACCAAAGCAAGAGAAGAACTTGGCGTCACATGGCGGACATGAGCTCCACTCCAACTGAATATTGGTGTCTGCTGTTAAATCAAGCAACACTTTGCTTAGAAATTTTAATGACACCGACTTGGATTGTGTCACTTTTGTGAAAACAACTTTACAAGTTGCTTGTACTGTTCTCAAGTGGTTTAAAAATAGGTATTGCAGGTTTTTGGTCCATCACTTCAATTCACTTTAATACTATAAGACAGAAACACCATGCTGTAATTCATTGTAGGATATTTCCCATTAATGTTGTTATTGCGACTCCACAGGCGATGTTTGGTGATAATGTGAGCCAGAAGTAACAGGAGTCTCCTGGATATAGAAATAAGTTCAAAGGATGGACAATGTGTGGTTTCTTCTTTTTCCAGTGTAAGGTTAGGTACACATGACGACTACAGACTAAAAAAAATACTGTAATGTGGGACTGAAGCTGAATACAATCTGCTCACTACTGGTTTGACTGGTTGAGCAGCATGGTGGTGAAAACCAACGGGCATCTGTAGTGACGTACCAACAAAGCAGAGTAGGATTAAAACCTCATGATGCTGCTATCTGTAATTCAGTGTTAGAAAGGATAGTGACGGTCATTTTAACATGCTAGCACTACTTTAAGCTACAACAGATACAGAGTTAGCTGTGCACAGAGCTACTGTAAGGCCCTCCAGTGTGTCCTCTGAGGCTTGATGGAGTTGTGCTATTACGTAGTGTGAAAGCCCTTAAAGAAAAATGGAAGTCAGAGTTGTCATAATTTACCAGAAGGATGTAAGGTGAAGTCGTTAGAGCAAAGAACAAAATAGAAAAATACTACCAAAGTTCCCCTGAGCAAATTCCCACCCTTTCTCCTCACTGGTGTGCATTTCAGTTTGGTCCACAGAACGAGATGGACTAGAACAACGTTTCAGTGAAGATCATGTGCTGCTGTTCTAATGAGATAACTCATTCGCTGTCATACCTCTGAATAAGGTGAAGCAGCTCCAGACCTCATGTCACAAAATTTTGTTATGCAAATCTAGATTCTAGAGGTCTGAAATCTATTATTGTATTTTAAAGTTGCAGCTCTGGAGCCCAGCAGCCTCGAGTGTGGAGGGACTCTAAGACTCTGGAGTTCTAGATTTTTCCTCCCAAAAAACATTTACGTGTTTACTGTAGACTTTGGTTGGTGTGATATACAATCAACTATATTATTTCCTTAGATAATACCATATTCTACAGCTATGTTCAGAGGTTTATTTAGATCTTTATTCTAGAGCTTGAGTGATGCAGGATTTCTGAGACTGATATTTGGTGGTTTAAAACTCTGATATTCTGCTTTCACTTTAACATTTCTTATATCTGGTGATTTATTTACTTGTTCACGTCCTGCCTGCTCCGATTGTTTGTGGAACGTTGCAGAGTGCCCCCCAGGAAAAAATCTGCCATGTTAAGACATTGTAAGAAAATTGTCCCCCCATCTCTTTACTTTTTTAAATTTTGCAATATTAAATGCCAATAACAACAGACTGGCAGGTATCTCATACCAAACAATAATATCAGCTTTACCCATTCCTGCTTCTTTTGTGCTTTGTTACCATTTAACAGGATCCTTACTGAGAGCCCAAAGCTCTCCTTATTGGTCCGAGACATAAATGCCCTTATGGGTGACAGATTTGGTTAGAATCTGAGGGAAGCAGGCCAGGAATTAAACTGAGACAGCCATATAGAAACAAGTGAACCAAGTCATTAACAAAAAAATTTGACCTGTAAACTTGGACTCACTACTCCAGTATTAATGTACTAACATCCTCCACTCAACTAAATGCCACCAAAAAACTACTTGTAAGACAAACGGCATTTTAGAAAGTGTCCAAAATCCAATTGGCTGTTACAATACAGTATATTAAGTATCAGATAATCCAGATAGTCCATGTAACAAACACTGACGCAGGCAGCGACCGCTAGTGGGAAGGTAGAAAAATGTTGAAAACAGCAGAAAAGAGAAAAGACTGGTCCAAATAACTTCATCCTTCTGGCTCCAAAATCCATATAAAAATAGAACTCGCACTTAGTTTAATATAAAACAATATATGTGCTGGAAAGAGGAGTCCTTCCTCATCATAGAAAGACAAGAACTGAGGCGGTTCCTCTCGTTCTGTCCGCTAGGCTGAGGTCTTCGTTGATTGGTAGCAATAAGGCACGTGTGACCACTGCAATCCTCCACCATAGTTCCCTTTTGTATGAGACACCAGTAACTTCACAAAAGCCAACATTTCATGTCAGATGGGCTGCAGCGCTGACAGCTTCACCGCCTGAACAGAGACAAGAGCCATGAGAAAGAAAAGATTGAGAAGAAAAAACATTAGACAAAAGACGAGTCATTTAACAGGACAAAGAAAACTGGAATTATTTAATGACCGACAACATGAAGCCAATTACTCATTTTCCCCATCCTAGCAGCACACTTATAACAGGCAGCTGAAGCTTGTACAAACACAACGTTGAACCGCGCGTCATTGACTTTGAGAGAAACCCGGCTTCATAAACAGAGTGAAGTGAAGCAAAAAGGTCCGTGTCCCACCAACAACACAACACCCGTTTGACACCAGAGGGCGCTGTTGCACCCAGAGCGCAGAATTAAAGAGAATGTGCAAAAGAATTATTCATCTGATAGCGGCACACCAAAGTGTTCAATATTAAATAACTAAATATGTGGATAAAACAGCATAACATGGGATAATGTGAATATAATGGCATTTAATAGAGCTCATTCTTATGGAAGTAGCATGATGACAAACAAAATGCAAGCTATGCATATAAAATTTTGTAAAAACTAAAAAACCCAATCATTTAATTATTAAATAAATTAAATGAATAGAATTCAAAACTGTAAAAACAATGAAAACAATAACTAAAAATAAACAAAAAAGCCCACATTTTTAGATCTAATGACACTTCGATGCTTTATTTTCCTTTTGTTTCTAATGAATTGAATAAAACCTGTTTAAAAACATAATTTGTATTTGAATTTGATTTTTAATGACACAGATCGTGATCTTTTTTTTCCTCTTGTTTGTTCTGTAGTGACTCATATTCAACAGAGACTACATAATTATTTAGATGCATATATTGTTAAATTTAATGGGACTTACACAGCTGACTTTTTTTAAATGCCCAAACGAACAATAAACAAAGTAAAAAGACAAAATTTCAAGCTGAAAAAGTTAAAATTGTACAAAATGTATGAAAGGAAAATTGTTTGTCAGTGTGTCAGTAAAGGGCTTTCATAAATCAGAGTATTACTAAGAAAACAACAACATACCACATTCATGGTTCAGTCACACTTGAATATTATTGTTATAATTCATTTTTCTTTCATGTATTTAATATTGAACACTTTGGGCTTCCATATTGTAAATAAAAAGAAAACCCAGGGAAGCCACAGTAGAGATTTTTTTGAAATTATATACAAAAATAACTGAATTTGCTCTTCCGTCCGTTCTTACTCACTCGGGTCAGACAGAAGTGTTGGCACGCAGCCTTATCGCAACAACAGACTAGACTGTAGGGGGACAAGGTGTAGAGGTTAGTGTTGGCATGGAGCCGCCACGCCGAGGAGCAGGAGAGTTTGATTTAACATCGTCCTCAAAGTGCACGTGTGTGTGTGTGTGTGTGTGTGTGTGTGTACACACCTTCTGCCGGCTGGTCATCCAGCTGCGGATGGTCGGCACGAGGACGGAGCCGAGCAGGATCTGAGCCGGATGGTAGATCAGGAGAGGGACTGAGATCAGAGACAGGTGCTCATAGCCCTCAAACACGATCTTCAACATGGGGATACCTGTGATTAAATAAATAAGGAAGACCTCATGGACTTAAAGCTAACCCAGCATTTAAAATTAGACTTCAGAATGAGATGCAGCGCAGACGAGATGACTTTGTTCACTTCATGCCAGCTCCGACCTGCAGCAGAGCTCACGACCGAGCTCAGAGCTTCACAGGCCTCAGAAGCTCTTTCTAACTCCTCCAGATTTCTCCTCTCTTTACTTTCTAACTTAAAACTCCACAGAGCTCTCAGGAGACACCCGACACTTGATACAAGTTTTTGCGTGCATGCAGGAGCTCTCTTCAAACACAACTTTGATGTGAAGTTTCTCTCTAACACAAAATCTGAGCGTCTAATCTGGATGTGCACCCACCCAGGGTTAGAGACTTGTGTGTGGAGCAGAACATGATGGCGACGGTGTCCGCGGGGCTGAACCTGGAGCCTGGCCTGCAGAGACAAACAGGAAGTTAAAACGTGCCATCTGTCACCCTCCAGACGGTTTGCAGGTGGTGACCTTTACACCCAGAGCAAAATGTTGGAGCAGTTCTTATTGTTTTAGGGAGCCAATGCATGTAATGATAAGAATATGATGAATAAATGAAATGTATAAAAATAAAATGTGTGAATACCAAACTGTGAAAAAAAAAGAAATGAAATCTTAAAATTTAAGATTTGATCAAAGTTGTTTTTCTGTTTTTAATTTTCACATTAAGGGTTTAATACTGATTCTTCTGCAAGTAACTTGATGACAAAAACTACAAGAAATAAATGCTGAAAGCCACTTAATGCTACTAAAAAATGTAATTAAAAAAATATATTTAGAAAAACATTTCATTACATTTCTGGGCAGAGCTATGTAAAAATAATCAATATAATGAATATTAAAGAAAAGAAAAGGACAGGTTGAGAAGGAGGAAGCTTACCTGGTGGAAAAGGCAAATGTGAGCAGCATGAAGCTGATCTGGATGGAGAAAACTGCAGAGCAAGAAAAAAGAGGCAAATTTAACTTCTCATTTCATATTAAGCTAAAATCAACATTTAGATGGACTTTTAGCAGTTTTTCTTTTTAAAATATTGTTTTAGATCTTATAATAATAAGAACAATAAAAAACAGTCCATTCATTACTCCAACAGTCTGTGGAGTGCCCTCTGTGGTGGAAATCTTCAGTAACTCCTTCAGTAATGGTTGATTTGATTAGTTTAGTATTGAGTTCTTCGATTAGCCCTTTTTTGGATTGATTCACCAATATCTGTTCTTCTACACTGCAGCTGCTTTGCAGCTGTTGTAGTTTGTACTAAGCATCTGTAAAAGACGTTGTGCGAGTCATTTGTGATTTATCATGGATTTTTATTCTAAATTAATAAAAATGTATGGATACTGAGATGTATTAGTTCTACACATTGTCTCTGAAAGTTTTCATTTTTAGACCAGCTAGCCTGAGGGGTAAAATGAAACACCACACTGTTTGTGAGGGAATAGTTGTACACGTTAATAGTCTATATATACTGTTTCTATGCTTCTATGCTATGTTTCTATGTGTTCAGTCATAACACTTTATTTTATCTCAATGTATTTGTGTTCCTATATTCAGCGATTACTGTTTTCTTTCCTTTTAAGTTAGCTTGGCTAGTTACCAAGGTAAACTTTAGGATTAAATCCAGTTAATGTTGATTTGGACGAGAGCTGTAGAGATTTTATGGTCATTTGGCGCCCTCTAGTGGCCGATACAAACTAGAGCAGTCAACTGGGAAACATTGACTACTGTTCTGTTTATTCTTTTCTGATATTTTTATTTGTAGATCACACTTAGTCGGATTGTAAATAAAGGGAATCTCAAGGCTTTAAATCCTTTACCAGATGCTTGCAGTGGCTGTAATTACTTAAACATTCAAAGAAATCAGGTTCTGATGATTATACTCAGTCCTGGCCCCGGGGTCGAGCAACATGAGCTAACATCATTTTAGAAACTGAGCCTGCTTATCGCTAACCTCAATAAACAACACAGAGATAAAAATACTGGACGTGCCTTCCAGGTCTGGAAGGTGGGCTTCCTGAAATCTGCATAATTTTTACTGACTAGTAGAAGGAAACACTGGCAAACTGCTAAATTAACCAACACAATCATTAGGAGTCTTTTGTTTTCTTTTTTGCCACTGATTTTACTGAGAGCCAGAAACTTCAAGAAACCAATTACAACCAATCAGGAAGTGCACGTTTCCCTAGCAACCAGATCAGCAATCATGTCCAACATGGCAAACAACTCTTGAACAATCTCTTGAGATCAGCTGGGTCAGCTTAACCTATGTTTATGGGAAAACGTCTTAGCAGACAGTTTCCTTTATGGGAAACATAAAAGAACAACTTTACGGCCTCATGGCTGCGGGCCATAAAGAAAAGGAAGATTAGTCAGGACTTCAGTCATAAGTCCTGTGGTCGGCTGTTTAAGGATCTGATCAGGATCTCTTCTGGATGTCTCACTTCAGAAAGTGGACGTCAGGGTACACACCCAGAACTCTCTGTAGGGGTTATACATCTCATGTGGCTTAATTACACCATGGGATGGCTAATGGCTAATGGAAGTGAAGGATTTCATTGGGTGGTGGCTGGTATGCTGAAGCATTTGAAAAAATGTCATCTGAACAGATAGAGGTAGTTTTTGGGTGTGAAAAGTGAAGCCAGTGTAGAAGTGTCTTCAACCTGCATTATTTTTAATGACCAGCAGGGGAAGATCGCTGATTCAGCAAAAACTGGCAAACTGCTAGCTTAACCAACACAATCATTGGTTTTTTTGGTGCAGCACATACTCTGCCACTGATTTTAACGAGAGCCAGAAACGTCCAGAAACCAGTGCCAACCAATCAGGAAGTGTACGCTTCCCTAGCAACCAGAGGTTAAATCGTGTTCAACATGGCAAACAACTCTTGAACAATCTATTGAGATCAGCTGGGTCAGCTCAACGCACGTTGGTGGGAAAACAGCCCTTATCTGCCTTGATCTATGTGCTTAGCAGTTTCCTTGACAACTTTATGAGCTCATGGCTACGGGCCATAAAGAAAAGGAAGATTCAGGACTTCAGTCATAAATTCGGTAGTCGGCAGTTGAAGGACAGGACGATACTGTGGTTGCAAACAGGCTTCCAGTGTTATAGAAGTCTGTGGGATAACAGCTCTCTGACCTCGGTAACACTTTCCAGATGAGCTCATATTCTCAGCCACTGGTTTCAGTTTACAGTGAATATAACATGAAGTCCACTTGAACTTTTGGTAGTTCTCAGAGTAACTGAGGAGAAATGTATTCAGGGATGCTTAAAAAGTTCAACTTTACTCAGCGTTTCAGAGCTAGCACCATTATTTTAACACTTCCTCTGATAGTTTAGTTCAAATTTACAATTTACATTTGATTTCCATTAATCTGCCATTGATGACACGCAGAAGGTGTACTGACTGATAAGGCCGACCAGCAGCAGGCTGGTGGGGTCCAGCTCGATGCTGGGGTTACTGAAGGTTTCGCAGAAGGTGGTGTAGATGATCATGAGGAGGACGGCGCTGCTGATGGCGCCGAACGGGGGCTTTTGCCTTTCCAGAAACTCCCTGAGGAAACCGCGACACACCTGCGCACAACCGAGCAAATCAGCTGATTTAGAGTTCAGACTTTAGACCAAGACTTCAGGACGTGCGCCGCTTCATACCTGACCCAGGATCAGAGGCACCACCACCGTCATGAAGAGCTGAGAGAAGATGGAGGAGAAGGGAACGGAGGACGAGGAGCCGAGCTGGAGGAGGAAGAGGAAAAAATAAATAAATACAAATATTATCACAAGAAATGCACAAATTATTGATCATATAAAAAACAAAAAACAAAAAATTGTGCTTAATTTTAGTTATTTTATGACTACTTTTCATTTTTATGACCCTTGGTTGCATCATGTCTTTTTTCTTTTAAAAGTAAGGTAAATAAAAACTTTTTTAATTATTCGTACGTTCGTAATTATTAAGCTCTTCTGGTTCTAATTTTATTCTGATTTTCATTTTTATTGTTTTGTGACTGTTCAGTTGTGTTTAATGTCCTCACGGTCATTTCAAATCTCTTTATGGTTGCTTTGTGTGATTATTTTAGCTCATTTGTGGTTTTTCGAGCTCTTTTTGTGTTTAGAGATATTTACTTTGCATGCATACTTAATTGTGTTCTTATCTGGACATCAAACAAATCGAAAACAAAGTTTAAATTGATCCATTTTTCACTTTCTTCATATTTGGAGCAGGACTGGTTGCCGTTTGGTAACTTGCTTGTAGCGTGTCTGTAATTTAAAAGTGATCATTTTGCTTGTTTTATGTCTCGGTTTGGTTGCCATGGATCTGTTTATGTTTGTTTTATGTTCATAACCCGACCAGGACGTCCTTACAAACGTCTAAGCCTCGTAAGGCGTCATGTGGCAGGCGGGACTTACAAAGAGCAGCAGCAGCAGAGGAGTGACGACGATTCCCTGCAGGGAGAAAAAGGGAAAAGAGAAATCAGGATTACAGCTTTGACTCTTCGTTCATTACTGCAGGATCGCTTCATTACAGTCACAATCCTCCAAGGAACGTGACACAGAAAAAAAACTGTCTTACCAAGAAGCTTCCAAAAGCAGAGTTGAAGATGGCGGCGGCCTGCACAAACACGCACTCAGTTTATCACTTTGGTGACACTGCAGGTTTAATCTGACCTGCTAATCTTTGTGTTTGTGTTACCTCGTTGCCTCCGACAGCCTTGGTGAGAATAACGGCGGAAGAGACCGGAGGGGGCATGCAGCTCACCGTCTGTAACCTAGGCAACCACAACAACCACAGGGTGAAGAAGAAAGAGGAGGATGAGGATGAAACAGATCTGAGTCACTGCCTGCCTCCTCAGAGGAAATTGTGAGGATGGAGGAATGTTTTTCACAAATGAGACAAAAAAAACAAAACAATGCAATACGATGTCACGCAAACAGGTCTGCAGGTGGGAGGGGCTTGTGTGAGACTGAGATGACCATATTAGGAATATGTCCCCTCTGTGATGTCATAAAGATCAGAAAAAAAAACTGCCTGAAATAAAGAGTTTAGAGCAATCTGAAGTCTGGAATTGCTTCCACATAGAAAAAATGTTTACAGATCTTATAAATCTATATTTTATTTACAACTGATGATACAATTTTATTTATTTATTTATTTTAATCTGATTGACTTCACTTGGACGGACCTCAAAACAAAACTGTGAAAAAAAATAAAATATCCTGTTCCTGGTGTTTCTCTGGGGAAGTCTCACATTATACACAAACACATGGAGCCGGGTCTGTAGTAATCTGTGAATGTGTCTTTATGCCAGCCCTCCAGGTACTGTGAGAATAAAGAACAACATTCTCTCTCTCACACACAAACAGACACACACAGGGTCCTACCCTCTGAGCAGCCATTGGTCGATGGCGGTCAGTGAGAGCACCTTGAGCAGCAGCCAAACGGCGAGTGGGAAGAAGATGAGGGTGAAGGACTGAACAAAGAGGTGGAGCCGCACGTGAAGCAGCGCACTGGTCAGCTCCTGCACACAGAGAGGGAGACTTTTCCAAACTGCACCTGAATGCAACACTGCATGTTCCATAACTGAGGACAGAAGCAGGATGGGAGCAGCTCACCTCCGTTTTTAGCGACAGGCCGCTGTTGAAGAAGATGAGCGAGACGGCGATGTACGCTACGGTGACCTCCGGTTTTAAAGGACCTGACAGACAGAAACAGATCAAATTTTCAAATGTGACATAGTCTGTGTAATACAGCAGGGAGAGGAAGCAGCCATCTGCTCTCTGTAGCTCTGCGTGGAGACCTGTTTTTACTGCAGTATGGATTAAAAGGGTTTTCACATCCGGTGCAGTTTCACCTCAGTGCTGCCTTTGTGACGTTGACATAATAGTTTCCTTAATAGGATTTAGCTTTCGGTTGGTGTCTTTGGTTCAGCTCTTGACTTGTTTTCCTCTTATTTATCTGTAAGGACCTTCTCTGTTAGGGTGTGCAGATTTTCCTCTTACGTTGCTTGTATGACCTGTGAGGTTCCACAAGGTTCACTCCCGGGTTCATTGTTATTTTCTTTTTACCATGCTTCTTTTAGCTAGAATCAATCTTTTTATGGCATTTCATATCATTTCTGAATAACCAGCTGGAGGCTAGTTAACTGATCATCCCAGATTACGCACTGACTCTTCAATAACTACCTTGTTTTAAACTTCATATATAACTGAACAAAGACTGATCGCACCACAACTTCTGCCTCCAAGTCAGCTGTGTCATCCATGCTCGCAGTTTACAAAAGATGAGAGCTGCATGTCTTTTAGCTGAAACAAGACTAAGGTGCAACTGTTTTCAACACAACAGCAGCAAATAAAACAAACAATCAAAGAAACAAAAACACACCACACCTGTGCTGATGTCATACTTCCAAAGCATCAACATTCCATGTTGGGAACTGGCTGAAAAAACACTGTAGTAATCTGTGAATGTGTTATGAAGTTGAGACTGCAAAATGCGTGACGTCACAATGGATTTGACCATCTTTTATATACAGTCAATGGTAACACGTTAAAATAAGAGTCCAGCAAATACGAGCAAGAAAACCCACTGATATTTGAAGCCGGCGTTTACGAGCAGCGCCTAAAGGCACCACACCGATAGTGGCGTCTTATCTAATCTACAGGGGAAATGAGCGGAGGGGTTATCAGCTCCGGTGGCGGCTGATTTGTAGTTATCAATGCTTATGCTTTCTCCTCACTTAGTTTAGTGGGAGTAATTAAAGATGCCGATAACGTGCTCGTGGACGCGCACACATGAGCGCGGAGCGGAGCACGGAGTTGGGTTGACGTGTTGACATTACCTACTGAATGCAACGTGTCACTACAGCGGCACTTCAGGTACGGAGACACACACAAACACACACAAACACAAGGAACCACTGTGACGTAGAGCCTGCTGCCTCAGGGCCAGCATGCAGGGGAACATTCCACTGAAAGAAAATCCTGAAATGTACACTTTGTTAAAGTCTGACAAAACCTCCATTCATTACATCACTACGTTATAAATAAAACCAACAGTATTTGCACCTTGTTTCGGCTCAGGTCATATTCACAGAAGCATGCAATGTTAAGTTGATAGTCCACACTTTTCTTCAAATTTCGGGGAAACGGCGCTAAATAAAGTCTAGAAGTTGTTCATTTATGGAAGATCAAAAGTTTCCATTTAAATCAGGCGATTTATTTTGTGACTCCTAACGATTGATTTAAGGTGTTAAGTCTTTACCTGAAAGAACACCTTTGGCCCTGAGAGAGAAGTAAAAGGATGGCAAACTCTTTCACAGCCTGGCAGTAAAATGCCCCAAACTGACCACTTAATAAACGGAATATTTGTTCATTTAGAGTCATTCAAAGAGTGAACACATTTTAAAGCAACACCATTGAACTTCAGTGATGAACTTCCGACCCTCTCACCTCCTTTCACTCCGATGCTGGGCTGCAGCTTGGCCGATAAGATGACCAGCACGATCCCGACGATGAACCACTCCTTTCGTATCCTCGTCACGAGGCCCATGTTTCAGCTCGCCGGTGGTCCACCGGCTCTCCCTGCCTGCCCCCCACGGTCACAGCAGCCGGGACAGAAGTTCCCACAACTCCGGCGCTTCTTCTACGAAGCTTTTATCGTCACAAAACACAGGCAGAGGAAGCCGAGGCTGCTTCCGGACACATGGGCCCAAACTAGTCGTAAAGACCAGATTACAGACGCACCGACTCACTCATTACCGTAACACTACTAAAAGCAGCACAACATGCGTGTAACGATCAGAATCTGAAAAAATGTCAATAAAAGATTACATGTTAGGATACAGTTTCATTATTTATAGGTTAAAAAACACAATACAAGTAAAAGTATGAATAACACTGTTATAAATAAAGCTGTGTAAGAAACCGGTAAAGAAACAATGGATGTAAGGGTCAGTATAACATTAACACATTTTAGTAGATATTTAAAAAGTTATTTATTAAAAATATGTGCCATTTATTTAACTATAAACAAATAATCATAGCAAACATTTTAAAAAATGTAAAAAATATATATTTAGAAAATTGTGATAATGAGGTATTGTTTTAGGTGAACAAGTCATAAAAATATTTTAAAAAATTTAAGTTTGTACAAAAAAAATAGACAAATTTTAATTGACTTGGAGAACAACAGTATATAACATGTAAATAAAGCTGAAATCCCAAACCTCATGCTTTGATGTCCATTTCTCTTCTTACCAGTTTTGTATTCAGTATTTAACGTCTTTTAAAACAGTCAAGGTCACTTTTAATAGAAGACTTATGAACAATAACCAATGACAAACAAACTATATATCAAGTCAATAAAAGTAAATTTTAACACTGAGTATTTAAACTGACATTAAAACATTACAAGTGCTTGAGTACAGATGAACTGTGTGGTTGTAGTACATTGTTAACTATGCAGAAAAGGGATCTCGTGACGTGCAGGGATTAGACCTGTGTGATAAGGAGTGTCCTTGTAATGACATCATTATGACTGTTGTACATTTCTTTGTGGATGATGGCCTTCAGCTGATGCAATTCAAAAGTAAACCACGGTGCAGTGCGAGAGAAGGAAAGGTTTCTAAAGGAGCGATCTTTAGTTTAGCGTTTATCCTTTTCACTCTTATTTTTAATTGATACTATACAGAGGTGAGATTTGGGTAAACGACCGTAGATGTTCTAGGCTATCCCATATAGCATCATATAGCATCCTATAGTCTTTGGTAGCATGCTTCATTACTGTGATCTGTGTTTCCTTCCTTTCAAATGTTTGAATGACAGTAAAAACGAGTCTTAGGCGAGATGCGGGACACGTTGCTAAACTGTTGCAGGGCTAACACAGACAACCATTCACACCTATAGCAAGTTTACAGGCTCAGCCCTGTAAATACTGACTCTTTGTATAAATTTGATTTGTTTATGAATAAAAGTCTTTGCATGTTATGAAATGCTCATGATTGTTCTTCACTCCATCACATCTGTATGATATCTCGATGTCACATGAAAAAAAAAACATCTGAAGAAAGATTTAAACAGTAACTTTGTGCTGCTGCCAAAACGTTTGGCCTCGACAAAGCACACAGCAGATGTTTCAGGGTTTCATCTTTATTCACGGTAACAGGTAACTCTTCTCCTTTCTCTCCCTCATATTGTCAAACGATGGCCTGTTAAAACCAGGCAGGAGAGTAGTAGTCCTCGGAATCCACACTGAGGTCCTCGCGCCCTCGTTTCACCTTCCAGGCGAGGAGCGCCTGCAGAGCGGCGGGCGAGGTTGAGGTAAGGTTGGCGCTGTATTTTCCATTCGTGGCGTGGGCGTGAGCGGAGGCCACCAACACCTGATGGAGGAAAAGCAGCAGGGTCACGGCCTTACAGTCGACCTCTGGATCCACATAAACTGTGAGGAAATGTCCTCAGACTCTTCAGTCAATTTAACTTCATGACTACTTCCTGAGTCACAGGTCTCAAAGTTCACAGGCTGAAGGACTCTAATGAAGGATGCACAAGTGTATCCTTTACTCTATTTTTATCTATTTTATCTTAAGTGTATAAAAGAGGTAACATGTCATCCTTGTTCCCGAGGTATTGCATTCACAAACTGTGTGACAAGGATACCTCATCAGGTTTTTACGGCCGACTGCTAAAGACGTAAAGAAAAGACCGACCTGCGCTCTCTGCAGCCGAGCCACATCTTCTGTGGTGCAGGCCACCTTGTAGCCCTGCAGGTAGTACTCAGCAGCTTTCACATACTGACTCTACAGAGACACACAGAGATGGGGAAGCAAGCCCAGGTGTTTACGAGGCAAAGCTAACATTTTTCAGCTGCTATAAATCAGTGTGATTGGTTATTGATTCCTGCACTGAATACTGTGGGGTGTGATTGGTACCCTGCTGAAGTAGATGTTTCCCAGACACAGATGAACGTCGATCAGTCTGTGATGCAGTCCGCTGCTACGAGACATGGCGACTAACTTCTCCAGACACGCGACCGCCTCCTCGAAGTATCCCTCGCTGTGCCACACACACACACACACACACACACACACACACACACACACACACACACACACACACACAAAGATGGAAAATGAACACTTGACTACAAGAAGGTTACTTGACTCACATTTGCACAGAGACCTCCAGACAATGTGCTGATAAACTTAACTTAAACTGTAGAAATTTCCTTTGTGGTTTTTTTTT